GACGCGCGTGGTGTTCACGAGCAAGAGCAGCGCTGCGCATGGTGGGATAGCTCCGTGGATTTTGCGGAGGGCCCGTGCGTAGGCGGCAGCCACGACATGTGCGCGCGCATGCTATCTTCTGCTCAACAACTCAAGATCCCTTTCTGACAAAGAAACTTCTAACAAAAATATCCCCACGATGAAGCGATCCGGTTCCAATCGCGTTGCACGCAAGATTGGCAGCTACGACGACGACGCATCCACCGACAGCGCGAACACCTCGCCGAGCGAAGTACAGAAGCCCACAGGTCAGTCACCAATTGTCGCGCTTGCCAGCCTTTCTGACGTTGGGGAAACTCACAGCGAATCTCTCCAGGCCTTGTTGAAAGCTGGCGACTTAGGTGGCTCCGTACTAACTGGCCGTGTAGTCGTCAAGCGGCCAACGATTGGTAAAGCGAAGAAGCGTTCTTCCCTACGAGTTTCTTTTGGCCCAGGAGAAGACGCGAACGATGGCGATGACTCGAGCGACGCAGCCGTTGTGACCCCAAAGAAGGCGAACCTCAGTCGCATAGCCCTGGAGAAGAGTGCGCAACTGCGGGCACGCTCACCTCTCGTACCTGAAGCCGCTCGCCCGACCGAATACAGCAAGGACTACATAGCAGAACTGCGAAACTCGACGCCGTCAACACCCCGCGACCTGAATACTTCCGCTGAAGATGAAGAGGAGACGCAGGCCCTAGATATCGCATCGAAATTCGGTCCTGTCGCGTCGCTCGAGACGTCATCTGCGATCCCCACCGAAGCCGAGATTCGAGAGAAGAAGGCGCGAAGAAGACGTTTGGCGCACGAAGAGAACGCCCTCGACGACGAAGACCGCGCGTGGGCATCTGACGACCAGGGAGAAGACGAGTTCAGACAGCACAGGAACGAGATTTCCCTTCGGCCAAAAGACAAGTACGGAGAAACGCGTCTCATACACGAAGATGAGGACATCGCCGAAGGTTTCGACGATTTTGTCGAAGATGGCAAGATATCGCTCGGTCGCAAGTCAGAGAAGGAAGCGCGGCGAAGACGGCGCGCGGAAATGGCGGAACTCATCAACGACGCCGAAGGCGGTTCGGGCGACGACGGGACGGACGACTCAGACGAAGAGAGGAATACCGCTTTCGCCGCAGCTCAAGCCCGCGCAGGACGATACGGCCAGAAGATCGAAGACGAGGAAGACGGCACAAAGACTCCACCGCGCATTACGCCCCTGCCAGACCTAGACGAAGTCCTAGAAGGTCTCACGATCGATATACAGACAAAGCAGCAGAGGAAGAACCTGATCCTACAGAAGCTACAAGACCTAAAGGACGACAAGGTTAGAATTGAGGAGCGCAAGAAGTACCTCCAGGAACAACTGCAGAAGGCAGGCGACGAGTACGAGAAGCTGCGCCAGGAGTCAGGGCTTCCAGCGTTACCCGCAAACGGCGTTGAAGGAGGCCGCTTGATCACAGAGAGAGGGCTGGACAGTTTGGGTACTACGCCTTTGGCTGGTACTACACCCGTAGCTGGTAGATCTAGCGACGACTCTGATGATGAGTAGCGTTTGTTAGAATTGGAGTATCTAGCTTCAGCATGGAACTGCTGGGCTAGCTGTGTGGTAATACTATGAACTTCATGAATGTGTATGAACGCTCCCTTAACGCCTGAATTCCACATGCGTATGATACAAGAGCCTAAAAGCTCAACGTTGATCGTATCCGTAAACTCCCATCCGTATGCAATTCCTCTTCCTCGCGTGAGCTCTTGCTCCTTCCAAGCTCATTTGTTCTCATCCAACTCCTTCCACACCTGCTTTATCTTCTCCCTCTTCTCCTTGGCCGCCTCGCGATTCTGCTTCGTCCGCTCGAGTCGCAGGCCACGCAGGCACATGTTGACTTTGTATTTCGCGTCGGTGCAATTCCCTGTTACTTTCCAGATGAAGCCGCGGTTATGGCATTCTTCTAGCGCTGCGACGACGTCGGCGCAGTCTATTCCGTGGATGTTAGAAGGTGTGCGCTGTGGGCTGCGTGGAGGGGGAGGGGTGGCGCACTCTTTTGGACTTCTTCGGTGTGGAGATGGGGATGCATTGTGGGTTTGCGCGGGCGGTGGTGTTTGCGAGGGTAGTTGGTGTGAGGTTTGGCAGGACTTGGAGGAGAGGGTGGTGGTGCTGGGCTCGATCGGACGGGTACTTGGAGATGTTGAAGTTGCCGACGAATCGAATCGTTGAAGATCTCGTGAACTGCGTCCGAGCGCGCCTTCACTCGTAGCCACTTTGTGTCGAACGCGTGAAGCCTCGCGAGACTTTTTCGAAATCACTCGACCACTTCCATTCTCTGTTCTCTATCCAAAATCAGCGACTATCCGACTTCGTACCTGCATAGTACGCATAGAATCAAGAATCTTCTCTCCCCCGAGTTCCCCGCAACCATCACCGACTCCTCACCACCGGGCACACGTCAAAAAGTCATATCGTCAGTATGGCATCCCAGCAGCAGCTGAAGAAGCAGCAAGGTCAGTGATCACATTGGTGAATCTTTTGCGCCCTTGCTGACCGAAAACAGAGCTCCAGACGACATATCAAAACTACAAGGTAAGAACGGTTCACACCCTTGGAAAGGTGTGAATGCTTAGTTGACCTCTTCGAAGAACACACTCCAAACAATTGCCTCAAAAATTGGTGATATCGAGCAAGAGACAGAGGAGCACAAGTAAGTTGCATTGCACCATCACTACGAAGCCACACCCGGCGATCGTTCAAACCTTCCCACACCGCTCGTCCCTTGTGTCAGCCTTGCATTGCTCCATGACTTGATAGTTCCAATATATCACACCGCTTTATGTTCTCATTACAACATAATCAATACTGACAGACACCAGACTCGTATTGGAGACGCTGCAACCATTGTCAGGAGACCGGAAATGCTTCCGTATGATCAACGGTGTCTTGACCGAACGAACGGTCAAGGACGTTGTGCCGATCCTGCAGACCAACTCTGATGGTCTCAAGCAGGCTCTGGAAGAGCTAGTCAAGCAGTACAAGTTGAAGCAAGATGAGATGGAGAAGTGGAAGGTACGTCATCAGTTGCACTTGGATCTCACACAGCGTTGACCCCGGCTTCTATTTCGATATCAAGTAACTAACTTCCCTTACAGAAGAAGAACAATGTCCAAGTTGTCCAACAGCCAGGGCAGTAGAAGATACCAGTGATGCAGCAACCCTTTGACAGGATGGGCACACGGCATATGCTGGGAGCCACATGAGATGACGCAGACGAGTACGGCAGCGATATCTCCGGTGACTGGAAATGGGGTGGATGGATCGGCACCCTAGCAAAGGGTTCTGTGTGTTCCGAGACGGAGTATACAGACGTAATAGGGTCTCTCCGGTTTCCGATCTTTGCACAGCAGGCCACGACAGAACAGCACAGCCTCTTGATGTCAACGAAAGGCTTGCCGGTGAATGAGGTCTATATGGATCTTGTACTATACCTCCCACAAATTACGAGAATCTTGCAATGTCACGATTGAACAAGCCACGACAGACCCGGGTCGCTGGGCTTTCAGCTACCATCCTACCAATGATGCCGCGCATGCAGCCTGAAAGACCCCACAAGCTCGCAACTACGTACGTGTCTACATGAAGTGACTGATTCAGGACTGCACCGTTGTCCCGGCACGTGCTCCCAACCCCAGGGGTCTCTGCAAGATGCGTTGTCCAGTCGGCTCCCACTCAAAGCAACGCACTGATCTGCACCATCTCACCCATGAAAACGGACACGTAGCTCATAGGCTACCGGCAAAGTCTTCACAGAGAATGACGAACGGTCCGGGGGTCGAGTCGTTAGTGGCTGACTTGAACGTCATCTCGTGTTGGCTTAGTGAAGCTGGAGCAAGGCTGTATGCAATATGCGCGAGAGCCCAACGAACAGCGAAGACTACTGACGTCGACGACGGCCTGGGATGATGCTAGAAGAGGCTTGGACAACACACGTTCTTGCTGAATGTCATCCGTGGCTGCAGTGGTGAAGACGCGGCAGAGATATGGACGTGGGGTGATGTTGGTAGGGCTGCCGAATGAGCTGCTGATGCGACTCGCATACAGGATCGCCAGCTAGCTTGAGAAGTCTGCAGTAGTAGGCCAGGTTCCGAACAGACGGTATGCCGGTGCTATGACCGGTCCGAATATTGAAGGACATGCACGGTATTGTAGAAAGCTGCGCGTTGGAAAGCGAATTCGGCGCAATGTTGCTAGGCATGATGTGAGAGGAGCTGGTTCGGCACGGGCCGGGATTGGTGCGGGCGGCCGAATTTCTCTTCGTTCTCACCATTCGATTCGCCCATCGAGGTAAATCCCCAATCCACCATCTCTCCGCGCACCAACGCTATCGCGCGTCCAAGCTCCATCCTCCCCCATCTTCTCCTCGCGCTCCTATTGGTAGGCGCGTCGTCAACTGCTCCAACGTCGCGACGTCAAGTCTCGATTGACAACTGCCACGCCTAACTGCGCCCGAATAACGCCCTGATTCAAGCCGGTCCGCCTGCATATCGTCCCACCGCTACTCGCAAGACACGGTCTGTGAATCGCCAGTGTCGCACGCGGTATCGTGCCCGCCGCCCGTAACACACCAACTTCGTCGTGTGTCGCGACTGCCCCGATCGCGGTCGCGCCTGCCACTGTCGCAAAGCACCCCTACCAGCTCTATCGTGGGTGCAACGCCAGCATCGCAGGTAGCCCCGGGCGTCACCACGAGCCGTAGTTCACTCGACGCTCCCTTGCGCCGTGCTCTCCGCTGTCGCAGCTCCCCACGTACGTTAGCTGCATCCCAAGCTGGCCGCTGCATGCCACTAACCGCTTCCTTCGCCAGGCCTCTCGTTACACCACTGACCGCAGGTTGCATACTCGGCCGCCAAGTTGTCCCGTCGTTTCTCCCAGTGACGTGGTCGCCAACGAAATAGTCGCCAGCGCATACGCTTCCGAGCAGGCAACCGATAATATGTCGGCCTCTCCCCCAAAGCAGGAGGGTGTGGAACCAGTCCAGTCGCCTGACGAAGAACAGCCCATGGACAGGAACACAGAGGAGAACACAGCTCAGATAGGTTACGAATTCGAGGTCAAGGAGCAAGACCGATGGCTTCCAATCGCCAATGGTACGTCTATTTCCCTTGCTGCCTCCCGCTGTTTTGATTTGCGCACCGTTTCGCTCCCATCTGCACGTCGACGGATTGCTCCAACGGGCGTCTCTGGATGCCGACAGTTCCTCGACTCGCGCGTCTCTGCGTCGAATCACCGCAACTCGGCAGCCAGTCAGGTCTGCCGTGTGCCTGGAAAACGGCCGGCGTGCAGCCTGCGAAATGTCGTCCTCTTCTCCACACTCGTCCCTTTCCCCGCCCCTTTCGACGCCAAAGAGCACAAACGCGAATAGCAGCACGGCTTCGGATGCTAACATACGTAACTTTGCTCCAGTCGCGCGAATCATGAAGATGGCGCTGCCCGAAAACGCCAAGATCGCCAAAGAGGCGAAAGAATGCATGCAGGAGTGCGTGAGCGAGTTCATCTCCTTCATCACCAGCGAGGGTATGTCTCACTCCAGCCCTGTCCGAGACCGCCACTGACTCTGCTGCCAGCCTCCGAAAAGTGCCAACAGGAGAAGCGCAAAACCGTCAATGGCGAGGACATCCTCTTCGCCATGACGTCGCTTGGTTTCGAGAACTACTCGGAAGCCCTGAAGATCTACCTGTCCAGGTATCGCGAAGTAAGCTGCCAACTTTTCCTATCCTCCCTTTGTCCTTCTTTTGTTGCCTACTATTTGGCCGAAACGTTTATCTGAACTATTGGTATTGATTGGTGGTACGAGACCCTCCTCGCAAATCAGAACAAACCACCCACTGGGCAGTTCGGTTCCGCAGGGCCCGGTGGGCCCGGTGCAGGTCCCGAGAATCAGCAACATGTACTGAGCGGCGACTCCGAAATGACCGAAGACGGCACAGCCTTTGGCTACACGGTCCACAACGGGAACGGAAACGAGTACTAGGCGTCTCAGGCTCCGGCGATCAGCGAGGAACCAGAAGAGGAGGGATACGGTTGCAACATACAGAAGCAGTCTTATATCAACCCGATCGCCGGAAAGGAAATTCTCCCGAAGGAGGAGAAAGAGTGATGAAGTTAAGGACACCTTCGCTATGGTCAGATTGTAACAAGTGCGCAACTGTCGCTCACAGTCGGTGGATCATGTTTGAGGTTATGAGGATTGGATCGGAGGTACACGAATACTCTGATAGGTTACGACTGGCTGGAGTAGGTCAGGACACATATGGGCAACCACGATACCTTTTGGCTTTGCCGGATTGCTGGTCTAGATATTTCTTCTTGCTCACACGAGCTTTACAACATTCGTTATATCCTTTTGATCAATATCATCAACTTCACGACAGATCGAACTAGTTGTCTTCTTATTGGCCTATCATTGATGCTGGGTATGCACTTCTAATGACTGTTAGCCGCTGCAGCCTGCCTCCGAGCAATGAGTTGGCTCAGCGGCACATCATCGTCCTGTTCATCATAGAACTCGACATCTTCATCCACCCCAAAATCCTTCAGCCGTTCGCCCTCCGAGTTTCGCCAAGCTGCCTCACCTTCCCTCTCTTTACCACCCTTTCTTCTGTCAGCCTCCTCCTCCTCTTCCTCCACATCATCACTAGCATCATCCCCATACGCATAGTCTTCCTCATCCCTGACCACGTCCCCATCCATCTCATCCTCCACCGTATCCCTCTCCACAGCCCCAGCATACGGTCTCCGCCTCCTCACGGCATCCTCCGCCTGCCTCATCTTAAACGCCGCAACCGTATCCTCAGCATTCAACTCCGACTCCGCAAACCGAAACGCATCTGCATTCACCGCCGTCGCATTCCTCCTATACGCACGATCTGGATCCGGAGGCGGCCAAACCGTGCCCTCGTCCTCGAAGCCATTCGTTTCATAAGATAGACCACTGCTCAAACTAGGTGTCGGAGCGAGGGGGTTGAACCACTGCAGCGGGATCCTCGAGTCCATACCCTGTACGATGTTCGACCAGATACCGATATCGTATGGGAACTCCTGTTTCTTGATGCGTATCTTGGTTCCGTCGGGACTAGGTAGATAACCGCCATACTGGCGCGCACGGCGTAGAAGCGTTCTGTGACGTTCGATTTCCCAGCCTTCGATTGTGGTTTGGTTGATAGCCAGGCACCAGAGATTTCTCAGTAGTAGGACGCCGAGGACAAAGAGGGTGATTGAGTTTGTGATGAGGACGGCGAAGAGGTGGCCTAGTTGGAAGGGCGTAGGGCCGAGGTAGGATGGCATGTCTAAATTGGACCAGAGGTGCGAGAGGCGGATGAAGAGGAAGTATTGGAGGAGGGAAAGACCGAAGGTGGTGTAAAGGAGGAAGCGCAGGAAGTGCGGAAAGGTGGTGTGGCTGACGCAGTTGTTGGTCCAGGGGCAGTGGTGGTCCATCTTGGGGATGCATCTTTTGCACTCCTTGCAATGGTGAGCTCTAGGTGGCTTCGCGGCGTCGCACTTCCGACACCATTTCCGGCTCTTCCCTGCGATATCCAGACCTGTCTCTTTGCCAGATGTGTCGCCATGTTCATTTCCCTTTTCAGCACCTAGCTCTTTCTTCACACTCCAGTCCTTGGGTATGGTCCCTGCGTCAACGAAAACACTCTGCGTATACGTAATCCATATCAAGACCAAAATCACATTCGACACGATGAGTTCATTTTTCGTTAGCGGCGCGGGTTCCAACTGCGTCAACAGCCATTGCGAGGGATAGCCGAGGAAGAAGATGAGGACGTAGACAGCCGGGACTGCACATTGATTGATTTCCATCATGCGAGGGACATTGGCGTGAAGCTGTTGATGTGATGAACGTTGGCAGAAAGGCAGGATGACGTTGCGGATGTGGAAGGGAGGTTTCGCGTCGACTAGGGTCGTTGGCGGATGTGGTGGATCGCGAAGACACGTGATTGGACGATCATGTAAAAGCAACGGACCACAGCTTTCATTCGTCCGTCGTCATCCTCTACCGACCACTCCATCGCGTCTGCCATCTCCATTTCCACAGAGCTTCCAAAAGCTCTGTTACTTGTGCGAATGCCATGGCGCTCTCAACATGGCCGTTTCTCCTCCTCATACCCACTGTCGTTCTAGTACACCTGTTCGTTTCGCCGTACACCAAAGTCGAAGAGTCGTTCAATATCCAGGCTATACATGACATTTTGGTGCATGGAATACCTACAGAGAACGCAGATCAGTTCTTGACGGCGAATTACGATCATGTTAGTTTTCCGGGGAGCGTGCCGAGGACGTTTGCGGGCGCGTTGGTTTTGAGCGGGTTGAGTAGGCCTGTCGTTGGGTTGTTGGAGGATATGGCGCAGGTGCAATTGCTCGGTGAGTAGATTTGAGGGTGTTGAATGGGTGATGGAAAGGCTGATTGTGGGGATAGTGAGAGGAGTACTTGGACTGCTTAATGCGGCTTCGCTTGTTGCGTTTGGGAGGAGCGTACAGAAGGCTTTTGGTACTAGTGCCGGGGTTTGGTATGCGCTGTTTCAAGCCAGCCAGTTCCATGCTATTTACTATGCTTCGAGGACGCTGCCTAATATGTTCGCTTTCGTGTTCAGTAAGTCACATGAGGTGCTTCGTACATCTATTGGCTTATATCAATTCAGGTAATTTGGCCTTGCGAAGCTTGTTGCTCGCATACACTGTACCATGGAACACCTCCAACATCTCAGGATACTATCGGCTGTGCTTGTATCTGCTCACGATTGCTGGTGTAGTCTTCCGCTCGGAACTAGCAATCCTAGTGGGGACAATTACTATATACTTGTTCATCACTAGGAGGATATCCATCACAAGCGTCATCATCCCAGCTGGACTTGGTGGCCTCGTCATTGGCCTACTCTGCACTGTACCTCTGGACTCATTCTTCTGGCAGTCTTTCCCGCTATGGCCTGAGTGGACAGGCTTCTACTACAACACTATCCAAGGGCATTCGGCTGACTGGGGTGTCTCGCCATGGCATTACTACTTCGTAAATGCCTTGCCACGATTGCTGCTGAACCCCGCAACCTATTTACTTTGCATACCGGTTGCAGTCATGAACACATCGACATCTAGACGAAGCCTGGATCTTCTTGTTCCACTGCTCAGCTTTGTGGGGTTGTACAGCTTCCTTCCGCACAAGGAATGGCGCTTCATCCTTTACGTGATTCCAGGTTTGACTGCCGTGGCTGCAGATGGAGCAGCTTGGATCTGGAACCGCAGAACAAAGTCGGTCGTATACGCTACTCTAAGTTTAGCTTTACTAGGATCAGTCCTGGTATCCTTCATTGCATCCACTGCGATCCTGGGTATCTCCAGTCTGAACTATCCTGGAGGCGAGGCCCTCCACACGCTACACAAGGAGATGGAGCACCCGGCTAGAAATCACTTCAACGTATACTTCGACAACCTTGCTTGCCAAACAGGCGTCACGCGATTCCTCGAGAGCCACAGAGGACCGCAGACAGTACTCGATGTCCTTGAAGCACAGGACACTCTGAACAGCAGAACATGGACATACGACAAGACTGAAGATCCAAACGTCCTATTAGACCCAATGTTCTGGACGAAGTTCGACTATGTTCTTGCCGAGAGCCCGGAGAAGGTCATCGGTAGCTGGGAAGTGGTCCATACTGTATATGGATTTGGCGGGGTCAGGCTTCTGAAACCGGGGGAAGAAAGTGGCTCGCTGGTCGAGCAGTCGGGTGGGGTCACTTCACAAGATAAGTGGGCATCGAAAGTTGCAGTATGGTGGCATGGATTGGAAAGGTTGCTGAGGAATAGCCTATTGAGAGGTTACTGGGCTGAGATACGGATGGAGCCGAAGATCCGTATCTTGCAGAACCAGATGAAGTAGTCGTGGGAAGTAATGAGCAGCCACGACAAAATGTGTAATAATTCAGTCGATCCTTCCCTTGGATGAAGTGGTTGTTTGGTGAAAGTCCGCCGGCGTCACTCGCGTTGAAGGACCCTTGCGCTTCGCATACCCCGCCACGCGGGCTTTCTGCCCCACCAAGCTCTCTCTTCCCAAGCATCGCGTCGACACCCAGTCCCACCACTCAACGCACCAATCTCTCAAACCTCAAAGCACCAGAGAGTCTGAATTATATCACACTTCACAAAATGTCAGCCGACGCGTTACCGAAGCCTGTCGTTTACTGCGGAGGCAAGCATTCCCACATTCCATGGCGACTACGGCTAACGAAAAGCAGTATGCAGTCTACCACCTGAAGTAGGTATGACACCGAGACGCGTTGAGAGGGAAATCGCGACTGACTAGACCAACTAATAGTACTGCGAGTTTGGCGGCACAACGAAGAAGTGTGAGGAATGGCTAGAAGAGGCGCATCCAGACCTGCACGCGAAGCTATACTCAGCAGGTACGTATAGCAACTATATTGGGAAGCCTATGGCTCGCCATTGCGATACACAAAATACGGTCTGCTAACTCCCCTCCAGAAGCGCTACAGCAAAACATGGCCTCCCTCTCCGTGGACGCCCAAAAACGCGCCGAAAAGGACGCCCAGAAGAAAGCCGCCAAAGCAGCAACCGCCGAAGCACGAGCAGCCGAGACGCGCGCGTCGTCCAAGATCCTCATCAAGCGCATCGAGCGCAACAAGCGGAAATACGTCACCGCCGTACAGGGTCTGGAAGCGTTTGGTCTCGACATCAAGAAGGTGGCCAAGGACTTTGGCAAGAAGTTCGCGACAGGGTCAAGTGTCACCAAGATCCCGGGTGGCGGCG